ATTGCAGGTATTGTCTCTACCACTTTCTTAATGCCTTTGGTGATCAAAACAATATTAAGGAAATCTTTCATTCCTTCTTCCCATGTTTCAAGGTGTAAACCATTCAACCTTATATCCTTGAAACTCAATAGGTTCCGTTTGGAACTTGGGGAATACAAGGCATCTTTAATCTCAAGCTGAGTGCCTCTAGGCAATAAGACATAGGCCTGGCCGTGGCCCTCTAAAAGATTAGCCACGCCTGCAATAGTGTGTATATTGGCACTTTGCATTGTAAGGTTCACAAAATATCGTTTGTCTTTAAGTATAGTATGGCTGGAACCACTATCAACCACAAGTGTACTCATCACTTCTTTTTTTTTTTTTTTTTTTTTTTTTTTTTTGATCAAATGTACTCATCACTTCATTCATCATACTATACATAAAAATTTATAAACTCATAATATAAATAAATAAAAATCTCATATCATAAATAAAACACCAAAATCCATAACAATCATCAAGCAATCATTCTTTTAAAATAAAAACACCAATAACATAAATATTAAAACTAAAATGTCAATCTGATTAGTCCTTTAGACAATCAGCAGTCTCATAATCCATATCAGTTTTCTCAAGCTCCTCATCATCATACCCGGAACCATGAACCATATGGGCCTCCGGGTTCTTGTCCTTCATTTTCTCTTGATATAGCTCAATTAAATGCTTAGGAATTCTGCATTGCTTCTGGAAGTGTCCAGTGCTACCACATCTGTAACAGACAGACTTGGTCGAGTGAGCAGGCTTGCTCGAGCCACCGCGGCCTCGGCCGGTTCCTTGGCCTCTCCCACGGCCGTAGCTGGAACCACGACCACGGTTATTGTGGTTTCCAGTCCTACGGTCGTATGGAGTCTGGTCTCGACCACTACGCCCCTTGAACCCACCACGGCCTCGACCGTGTGGTTTCCTATCACCATGGGCGTAGTNGGTTTCCAGTCCTACGGTCGTATGGAGTCTGGTCTCGACCACTACGCCCCTTGAACCCACCACGGCCTCGACCGTGTGGTTTCCTATCACCATGGGCGTAGTTGGATTCCTTGGTCGGATCTTGCTCGACCTCATGAGCTTCTGGTACGGGTGCTGAACCTGCTGGTCTAAGGGCATTGTTTCTCATCAACAATTGGCTGTTAGCCTCTGCCAAAAGCAAGACTGCAATCAGATCATCATATGTGGGGAACTCTCTAGTTCTATACTGTTGTTGCAACACTGCATTAGAAGAATGCATTGTGGAATATGTCTTATCAAGCATATTCTCCTCAGTTACAACATCACCACATAGCCTCAATAAAGAAACAATTCGGAACAAGGCCGAATTGTAATCATCCACGGTCTTAAAATCCATGAATCTCAGGTTCTTCCATTCATCTCGAACCTTTGGGAGTAACACCGTTTTCTGGTGATCATAACGTCGCTGTAAAGCGTCCCAAAGTTCAAGTGGATTTACCATAGTGAGGTACTGGTTCTTAAGCCCTTCCACAAGGTGGTGGCGTATGATCTGAATTGACTTATACCGGTTCTTGATAGACTCATTATTGTCTTTCTCAATGGTATCACCAAGACCCTTAGAATTCAGATTGATCTTGGTATCAAGAGCCCACTACAGGTAGTTATCTCCAGAGAGATTAAGAGCTGAGTAGTCAAGGTTTGCAATCTTAGACATCTGAATCACATAAACCACACATATTAGGGTTTCATAAAACTTGTGATTCCTTGACTACTTTACAACCACAAACCAAACCATACTTGTAACTACAATGATCATTGTGAAGACAAACAAAAACACACCATTATGATCACTCAAAACTCATATGGTTTATGGTTTAGCATTGGTCGGAATGGGTGAGATGACATCAAAAACATATGCTGGTCGGTTTTTAAACAGTATGAATGCAACCAAATTCAACAATATGATGCAATTCTTAAAATCAATCATTCACACAATTAAACAAAATCAAACATACTAAATCTCCCCCTGATTTTATTAATTGTGGTAATTAGGGTTTCAAGGCCCTTAGGTCAAATTTTAAAATCAAGAAAATTAGGGTTTTCAAGGCCCCAAAATTTTTAAAAACAGGCGGCTAAAATAAATCAATCATCCAATCAACTTTTCTTTTGAAAAAAAAAAAAAAAAAAAATTTAAAACTGGAAATCAGAGTTAAAACTTTCATAAAAAATCATTCAAAAGGGTTTTAATAATTCTTAAAACTTGTTTTAAAACTTTTTCAATCATAAAAATCAGTTTTCTTAAAAAAAAACTTTTTATGCAATCAATCTTAAAATCAGATTAGGGTTTAAGGTTTCAAGGCCTTATGATCTTAAAAAGGTTTCAAGGCCTTTAGGATTTAGGTTCTTAACTTAAACAATCAATCTAACAATCCTAAACCTCAAACAATCAATTTAAACAATCAAATAAAAATCCGATTTTAGGGTTTAGGGTTACAATTCCATAAATTAGGGTTTTTAAATTCTCAGATATGATCACAGAAACAATCAAACAAAATTAATTTGGAATTGATTTCAAGATGAGGGTGAAAGAAAGGTAGAAGGGAGAGTCAAATTCTAGTTCATTCAATTTTTAGGGTTTAGCAAAAATAATCTTAAAATCTATGGTGATTGTTTCTAAGTCCTCAGATTAATGTGTATACCTTTTCTTTTGCAGATTTAAAAGAACCGGACCACCAAGAACAGGAGAGAAGACCGCGAACGGATCACCGGGTCGTCTAGGGTTCTTGGACGAGAAAAAGGAAATTCTCTGGCGGCTGGAACGGTTGGTTCTGCTATCGGCTAGGGCTTCCACCGGAAAAAGGAAATTCGGGTGAGGCGGCTGGTCGGGAAAAGGAAATCGGGTTGGGAACTCGCCGGGTAAAAAGGAAACTCGGCTAGGGTTCTCGCCGGGAAAAGGAAACGCGGGTGGAGGCTCGCCGAGGAAAAGGAAAGATCGGCTAGGGCTTTTGGTCGAGTAAAAAGGAAACTCGGGTGGAACTCGCCGGAAAAGAGGAACTCGGGTGGAGGCTGGTCGGATGAGAGAGAGAGCTCGAACTAGGGTTTTGCAGATTTCTTTGCTTGAATTACCAGAGCAATTCGTGCTGATAACGTGTTGTAAACCAAAGTGAAATCTATGTCTTATTCATGCTTTAGAGGTTCCATATATATATGGGATACAAGAACAAGATAAATGGAAAACATCCAATTCCTAAAGTAACAAGGAATTGGAAATACATAGAAAAGGAAAAGGGAACCAGCCGCCTAGACTATTGGGTCACACGACCATTGGACTGGTTCTAATCTATCTAATGGTTAAGGCTCATTCACTAATTGGTTCATAACATTTAGTTTATTATTGAGAGAAACTCAAGGAGTGTCTCTCCATTAGTCATGCTCTTACCCACACGTTCTAAATCCAAATAATGATCCACAAGTTATATGTAGATTGAATTTGGTCTTATATTTCTTAATCAAAATAACCTAGTCCAATTAAATAAACCACTGAAACAAAACTGACCAAACAAACTGAAGTACATGATATGACCAAAAGGAAAATATTTTATGCAAGATAATTGATATTGACGAGTTCTAGAGAATCACATGCATAAAAAAGGTATAGCAAGCAAAAAATCATTGGAATTATAATTATTAATCAACTATAATATGGTATCAGCACAAACAAATGAAAAGAAAGAGATAATGGTCAAAGAAAAAAATGCATGGTTATGGAGGTAACAAGAATAACATCTAAATATGGCTGAATCCAAGTAACATCGAGTCACCTAAAAACAATAACCAATATTTCTCCTCCACCAACTCAGATCTCCAAACAAACAAAAAAAAATATAGTATAGGCAAGTAAAAGAAAACATAAACATAGCAAGCAAATCAACAAATGATACAACTATAGAAGCATATGAAAATACACATATTGTAGAGCATAAATGCCAAAAAATTACAGAACTAGGATAAATCCTGTGGAAATAAGCTTCAAAACCTCCAATTGTAAGAGGGTTGAAACAACATTAAACATAGCAAACAAACCACAAATGATGCAACAAGAAGTATATGTACCATAAAAATACTGTAGAAAACTTGCCGAAAGAGTTACAGAACTTAAACAAGTCCTGTGGAAATAAGCTTCAAACCTCCAATTGTAAGAGGGAAAGCAAATATAAATATATTACAACGGCAGGCATGAAGAAAGACATTTGATTTAGGCTAGAAATTACCTGACAAAGATACTTGATTATGCATTTATAAACACAGTATGCGAGAGTATAACTCAAGAGCCATGAATCTATTAAATTTAAGCTGAAACATTTGACTTATGCTATAAATTTCATACCTTTCTATGCAGTAGTATTACCAATATGATAAAACACATTAAAAACAAGCAACAAGCAATTTTCTCTGGAGAGAAAGTTATGTACCAAAGAATAATACACAGTAAAGAGATAAATTCAACATAGAGAAATAAGAAATAACATACCAACTAAATAAGGATTCGGAAAAAAACAGAGATGAAAAAAAGTTATTTTAAAGGTACTTAGCATTAACTCAAGCAACATGGATAAGAAACTGCATGGATATCAAGCTTCTGCAAATTGATAAGCACAACTATTTACGTAATTTCTTATAGAACCAAAGAAACTAGAAGAAAAATAAATATG